TCCGATTAACACCAAATTTTCACAGCTTTAAGATGACAATGAGAGGAACTTGAATGTGTCCAGACAAGCTATTTCATGGATTATTGATTATTGAGTTATTGATTATTGATTATTGAGTTGGGGGCAATGCGACTACTACTAGTAGGACACTACTTTTCAAAACGCGCTGCTTGAATAAAACTGACCAGACACATTCAATTTACCAGACTATTGAACAACTAGGAAAAGTGAAAAAAAACCTTCTTATCACCAGCATAAATGCGTAATTATTTTTTTTACAAAAAAAAGTATTTTTTCACTTTTGATTGAGTAACGCACCGTAGAATGCAGTTACGGGCATGGCAAACACACATTTGAAAAGCTTGAAGTCTGGCGATTCCAAAAATATATACTTTCTGGGTCTATTTGTAGTCGTTTGGTCACAATTAGAAGATAAAAACAAGTATGCAAATAATAGTCCCGCTACCTTAAATTATGTGACAAGTACTAACGTTCATGTATTTTTATTTCAAACAGAAATATTAATTATTTAAATTCAAAGTATCGGTGAAGTATATGTGCAGCTTTTACGATGTTTTTTTAATCTTCGAGTTTACACACCATGCGTTAGTTTTAGGGCAGGTTTCAATCAAACTACTCACCAATTTTGCAATAAGTTCGTAATAAATTCTTGCACATTAAGAAAAAATAACCAAAGCTTTTTCATGATCAGTGGATGAAATCAATCATGAATATTTCATGCCAGGTTCGACAGATATGAAAGTTTATCACTTTAATGCGTCAGTGTTCTACTATAACTATGTGAGTTTTTCACATCCATGGAGTGCTTGGGATAGAACCTCTACGATGCAGTGAACTGGTAGAAGTTGGGTGTTTCTTCCCACTGTTTATAGTGGTGATAGTTGTTTAATACCGTGCATGCAAGGCACATATTACTGCTGAAATACATTGGTCGAACAAATATATGAGTTCTGTTGACAAGATCACTTAAAGCAGGAAGGTCGTCACCTGCGCACGCGCAGGAATTGAGTCACAAGCGACGGAAACAACATCCACTAAAATCGCAAAGGCTCATGGGTAGACGCTTGCTTGTAAACAATGACACGCTATGGCCATCTGGCACATGCGCAGGTGACGACTCCCCCGCTTTAAGAAGCAAAACAAGTTTGGTAGCAACATTGTTCACATGCAGATGACTAATACTAAAACGAATTTTTGCAGACATGAAATATCATAGTGCTATATGTATCAAAATATGGCACATGTAAACATGTTTAATAATGCAGAATGCAGAGACCAAGCTGAATATATGTTTAACTATAAGCATGAAATCAACTTGGGGATTGGGAAACCTTTCAGACAGCCATTCAGATGCATACCTCCAGCACTCTATGATAAGGTGATGGCACAGATGAGGGGTGAGTTGAACAATAGGGTGATGCAGGAATCGAGTAATCCATGTGTGTCTTCAATCTTTTCATTGAGGAAATAAGACAGATTGGCGCAGATAAGTGTTGAATGCCACATAGTGCTACCATTAAAGATGTGTACTCCATCTAGTTCATAGAAGAAAGTATGGAAGTACTTGTAACTGTGTGTTTTTTTATAAATGAAAGTGAATACCTTCAGATTGTTATGGACAGAAAAGGATATCCCCAAAGACAGCATTTGTCACTACATCTTGGCTATACCACTATACCACTATACCACTGTCCTGTTTTGTTTAGAACAAATTATTGAACAGTGCTCAAAAAAAGAAAAGCTTGTATTATTTAGGTGATGTGATATTCACCTCCATAATATTAGAGGAGCACTTGAATTTGTTAACGTATATTTAAAAGTATGCATTTCTGTAAGTGTGAAATGTCTGGGGCATGTTGTATATCCAGATGTGTAGATTAGGAAAGGATCATGTCATTGAAAAAACAGTCGATACCCTAGAATGTTTATGAAGGCCGCATTTTCTCTGAGTTTGCTCACTCCTGTACATTATTTGTATTATGGTACATGAGATGGGACTGTAGAAAAGATTCTACCGTACTAGAGACTTGGGCGCCATTGAAACACCTATATCAACAGCCTATGACGCTGACATTTGTGGACAAAAGACGTTATATTTATAATAGACAATTTTACAAAGTACACAGCGAGAGTGCAAAAAAAGACACTACAAGGAATTCGGTAAAAATGAATACTGGCAAGTGTATGACGCTGATCTAAGGAGGAGGAAAAACACGACGTCACAAAATTGGGTTCATCACAACAAGGAAAGGTATTGAGCTGCTTTTATTTTAGGACAACTTTGGCATTCAAGGTAAGACAAAGATTGCCAACATATGGGAAGAGTTGAATGGTAAATGCACAGGTATGTGTAAGGCTGAAGATGAACGAGAAAACTAAAAACAAGAAGCAATTGAATGAGTCCACCACCACCGAGTATAATATTAAGACTGATGTGCCAATGATGCTATCCCTTCGAATTATAGATCAATTGGTCGTCAATAAAGATAGTATTTTCCACACTGATCCACTGGCTACTTGCAAAGGCATACCGCCTGTAGTCCCTCTCGATCACTTACTTGGTATTGATGTTTGTAAGGTGCATTGCTTAGTAGATAATGGTGTATATATACATCACGTACTCATCATACACTCTCAGTACGTCTTTGCTGGTCCAGTGCATGCTGGTCTATCTGTTAGCTGGTTGTGATGTCATCATACATTTTTTGTTGACTAAAAAATTTCTGTTCTGTATTTTTTTGCTGTTGGTTGTTCAATCAGAGAAGTGTGTGATGGCGTTGATCAATCTTCTAGAGTATCTCTTTAAATATACACATTTTCAACTTTAATATATTGCAAATATATTTTATTTCCTTCGATAGTGGACGTGTCATGTAATATTTTGAAAACTACACTGTTTACAAAGCATTGTAGTCGGT